TACACAGGCTGTGGCAGCTATAATTAGCTACATTCTAGAAAAGCACGAAAAATGAGCCAAACAGTCAACAAACATGTGCTACAATACTATACTGTCCACTATGATGTACTACAGTGGAGCTTGTCCCATCTTTTTTATGTATTATAAAATTTTCCTATAAAGATACAAACAAGAAAGAGGTTCTACATTCATCCATCTTCCAGCTGATTATCCTGGTCATGTGAAACACAATCTATGAAATTTAAACTCTCCTCTGCACTCAGGTAAGGCATTTAACAGAATGATTTGTTTACATTGTCAAGTCATTTGACAGTAGCGTTAGCCAGAGACCATGCTGGCATTTCAATGATTTGATATTAGATGTAAACATGTGTAATATTTTTGAGCACTACTTTTCAGTTTAATTTTTTTTTAATAACTGTTCAACATACACACACATGCATATTTTATCCCATTAAAGAAATGTTTAATCAGTAACAAAAAAGCATTGAATCATGTATATCTTAATTTATTACTTATAAATGACAATGTTGCATTACAACTACATTTGACGATTACTTGTTTAATACGCTCCAGAATTATACAACAATTAACACCATATAACATCTACAAATACATAACAAAATACATGACAAGCCTGAATGTAGATATTTACATGCAATATTTTCAAGACACCTCTAAAACTACTGATAATTTAGTTCAAAATACCTGGATATATCACATATATGTAATCTCAATATATATTTGAATATCTATGAATATCTGTATATATGCCAAATGCTTTTTAGCATAAGGTATTTCAAGATAACTTGATATACTGTACTTAAATTTCAAAACTATGCATCATTTAAAAGATATTCTAAAATAGACCATAAGTGATTTTAGGATACTGCTAACTGATGAACCAGAAACCATATAATTCAATGTCATCATCCATTGAAAATTTTGAAGTTATCTGTAAATCATTTCCAGAGAGCTATTCATGATCAATGTATGGCATAAAATTAGTAGAATGTTGTTTATGATTTTGAAGACATAAGTGCTGTTATTCATCAAATTATAATGTTGCCATAATAAACTATAGAAATATTGAATTTGGCTTACAGTATCTTTGTTAAATCAACTAAACAATATATTTTTTTACTTTGAGTAATTATTCAAATTAAGCTAAATTCATTTTAGTTGGAAACCCACATTGAAATCAAGTGTGGTATATGCCTTTGAAGACCACCGGACTTCACCATGCACAAAGGTAATGGATTCCTTCCGGCCATTTAAAGTGGAAGTGCATTTTCACAGAAGAAAGAAGATTTATAGTTACGTATATGGAAGCCACATTTTTAAAGAAGAAACACATTTAAACCACTGAGGATTTCGATGGAGTTTGGTGTAAATGTCAGGTCTGTTCTCCGTGTTTCAGCTGAAGTCTGCAGGAGTTCTAATGAATGCCTCTGTCTTACAGAGGGAGCAGCGCAGGGCGCAAAACCAATAGCATAAGCTAGTTAGTTTAAAGTTTCTGTTAATCCTGGCATCAAAAGAAACAAAAGGGCCTTTCTGTTGTAATGCTGTTGTAGTTCAACCTTAATGAACTTCCACCTGGGTCAAATCATTCTTCTGTGTACTAGATGTATAGCAAAATTCTTTTATATTATGTATCATATAAGTGCTTCAGTCAGTACACACAATTACCCCTTGGACACCTTTTACTAAAACAAATATAAAATTCCTTCAAAAAATTTGGATTACATCATATTAAATTAGATCCTGTAAGCAATCATATGCTAACATATGTCATAAAATCAGATTCAAAGTCATTTTTATTCGCCAAGTGTTTTGATAGTGATCTACAAGGAATTTCCCTTGATGGTCTTACACAGTTTAAAGTGTTTCATTGAGCAGGTGTGTTACTAGTGATGGACTATCCATAGGAAGTGTTTTATGAAGCCTGTGCAAGCCTTTGTTTATTGGTTGGGTTTGCTTCAAGGTGGCATGATTTGCTATATTCAATATACAGTACATGATCTTGAGGTTTGTGTAATTCCTGCTCACAAGATCATAACATCCCCATGTAGACAAATATCTTAGTAGTATAGCATAGATTAATATAATTATAAGGATTAATATAATTAACTGTGATGTAATATCATGTTAAAATGAAAAGTCTGATTAGCTATAACTGGAGAAACGGTAATTTCACTTTCAATATTCTAATAGTTTCTGTTTTTAAATACATAAACATGCCTTTATACCTACATATGTTTCACATTTTTCACACTTGCTTTGTGTGCTGGGAGCACTATGGTTATAATTTGCCCAAAGAAATGTGACAGTTTTTTTAAGCCTCATCTCAGAAATATATTGTAAATATGCTTTTAATTTGCATATGCCAAAAATCAACCCCATTTGACAAATTATCTTGCCCATTAATTGAGTTTTAATGGCCCTCTTGGCATATCCTGAATGTAGGTTGCACACCACAGTGTGGGCTGGAAACTGAGCGGAAAGAGACATGCAAATGGCAGTGGCTTTGACTGAATGTTAAATTACTGGCAGTTAACTTTCGCATAAAAGTTACAATGTCTATAAGTACAGCACTGGTTTCTGCTAAGCAGTACAGTGTGACTATATTGAAAACACCATCCCCCAATCATATTCATTGATGTAATACAGCACTCCTTTCAAACACACACACATGCGCATGCATACGTCTGGCCAAAGCATAACCACAGGGCCCAAAACGAATTCTCTTGTGAAATAAATGAAAAAGGCATGTGCAGCTTTACTTGTCAAATATAGTCAATTTTTTACCATTTCAAATCTGGAATACACTGATAAAACTAAACAAGATCACATTTTGGCAAGCTTGTTAATTGCTTGGATGCATTAGAATTTGGATAACATTAAAGGCTGCTCCTAATATTAAACTTCTTAATAGGTATAAGAATTCCTAACACATTTCATTTTATTGGCAGGAAGGGATTAATTTCCTAACATTACTACAAATCACAAAATTATACTCTACATCAGGTTTATATTTCACATATTATTTAGCAGAAATGTACCTTTATGGAAATCATATTCTTCACTGGCTTACATAAACTGGACTGATGTAGCTGAATGCGTCAGTCCCAGGAATGCATATTCAGAGAATCACAAATGAGAAAAATATGATTTTTTTTTCTATTGACAGTGCCCACTGTGATGTTGCGGGTAACAACACTCGTTAAGATAACTTCTAATTTGTTTTTTTTTTTAATTCTCTCTCTCTCTCACTTGTGAAAACAGACCACAGGGAAATGAAATGCAGATGAATGAAATATTACTCAAACTTACTGCGATGAAGAGCTTCACATTATTAAAAATTTATTAAAAATAATTTTTAAAAGTCGCTCATGCTTTCTCATGCTTTCTGGGGCTATCCAGTGGGGCCGAGCACCCCAAAGCATCCTTGCAATTCTAATGCTGTGTTATAGAGCTGAGTGATAGTAAGGCGATTACACGTAAAGATGGTGCTAGCTGAATCACCCTCCCCCAACAAACACAAAAGCCTTCCATTTTTATAGCTGGAAGCAAAACGCAACTTTTATCATATATTAGCTAGTTAGTCTTTGAATAAATTACATTTGTTAATTTAAGTGATAGGGAAAAAAGAGATTTTATTATAGTAGTACAGCTTTATTTATGCTACTCTTCCTAAACACCAATCAAATGCAAATTCTTGTTAGAAATATTGCTACAATAATCAAATAAACAGTGATTTAACGGTAAACATGTAATAATATTGTCTCTGTAAAGTAAATTTTTCCCAATGATTACACAGTTGGTCACCTTGCAGCACATCCTGCAAAATATGCATTTTTAAGGTTTATATGGATCGGGGCTATTCAATCAATTAAAATTAATTAAGTGAGGATCATTGATACCCTACATTTCACACATCACAAAATCATAGTTTAACATGTCCTTTCTTATTTGCCTTGTCAAAAAATGGACAAATTAAAGCGTTGACCTAATATCAGCAGTGAAATAGATTCTGTGTGCCTGTTTACATACCATGTGGCTGTTATTATATTTTTATATTATTGAATAATTGAATAATACATTTTCAATTTGCGAATAGGAATTGTTTCTAAATATAAAATATGGATTACCTGAAACTTATAACATTATATCTCACAAGACAACATACAGTGTCTCTCTTTAAAATAAGCTGTATGTAATGGGAAAAAAAATACAGGTGATTAAGGACCACCATAAGTTCGGCAATTGTTAACAAACAACAAACATTCACAGTTAATAAAGATAGATATATTTTCAGCATTTTGATACATATGAAAAACGTGTGAATAAAACATGCAACATATTTAGACGTTAAAGGTGGGGAAACCACATGTGTTTTAAATTGTGGTGGTACTTATACATAAACATTATTTCTCCAGATACGAATATTTGTCATTGGATGACCTTTATTACTGCTTTTTCTTGTGTGGAAGAAAACGTCTATTATTATGTAAAATTATGCTTATGAAAACAAGTTCCCCCCGTCCAGCCACCTTCACTTGAGCCTGACTCCAATTCATGTCTCCCCTCAGCAGTTTGGCGGTCTTTATTGAAGCCAGGTGTAACACAAGGTTTCTGACCCGGTCGCTTTATCGAGTATAGAACACTCGCGCGTTCCATCACAGTTTTTAAATAACAATCTGCACATTTACATTCCGCGACCAGTCGTTCACGCACATATGCTTCCGTCTTACACAAACCAAAGACCGTGCAGAAGTATCCTTATGAATCTTTAGGAGAAAAAAAATCACAATAAATGAATGTATATTAATATATAAATGTATATAGCAGCAAATACTTACAAAGTAAAATACAAAAATCATTGCTCACCTGAAAACTTTTTACCTGTGATTCATTTATGTGTGTGTGTGTGTGTGTGTGTGTGTACAGACGCACATACACACACACACACACACACACATAGTAGCCTAATTGTCTTCGTGGAGGAAGGCCAGTTGCAAAAAGAAGAAGTGTACTCTTTCCCCAACTCTTCTTTCTTGCGATGCTCTCCCATGACTTACTGTAAAATCGCGTCCTCAGCCATTGGTCGAGTTGGCTCGCCCGTATGCGAAGGGGACCGAAGCGCCTAAAGCCGAAAGGAGGGCAGGCAACATTCACCAACGCAACTGGAACATTGTCAATAGTGGCATATATTTATGCGCAGTCTGCGTCGCCTTTCAGCCCGCTTGTCTGTAATCTTCTTTTGCGACGGCTAAGGATGAAAAAGAAAAGCCGTAGTCTTGCTGCACATGATAACATATTTATATGATTAGTTGCTTCGGATCTGGGGGTGGTGGGGGTAGGGGGAGGTTAGAGGAAGCTCCGAGCCGCTCCGTATACCGGGCCACTCCGTGTCAGGTTTTGACAGCGACCCATTCAAAGGCGGCTCAGGCACAAGGCAGCCTGCATAGGACTTGGTGCGCTGGCTCTGTTTACTGGGACCGTGTTCCTCCGTGTTTCCGGCATCCTCAGCACCGCTTATGAGCAGGATCCTCGCTAAATGCAAGCGGGCTGACTAACTTAGTACTGATACGGAAGGGCACGCTGTTATTCAAGGCGACACGGAGTGGATTGACACTGGTGGAAAGGTGCTTCAGTTTGCCTTGTTCTTCCATATCAGACCTAATATCTCAAGCTTTTTTTCATAGTACTGTGTTTTTTGTCGCCCTGCGCTGCTGTCTTTTGTATTTTTTTCCCATTTTCTTTTTTTTTTTTTTTTTTTTGGGGCATCTTTAGAATAGGAGAGAAAGCCGGACTGTTGATCGATTCAGCACCTTCGCAATGGGACCAGTTGCCGGGTCTGGGAGAATGTGTGGACTCAGAGAAAGAGCGGCTGCCCGATAAAGCGTCGCCTGTCCCAGATAAGTGGAGCATGCATCAGGACTGCATTAGCTTCCCTTTATGCTGCGTGCTCTTCATTAGGCTGCAGAGGAGTTACTACCCGGCTGTCTGCTTTGCGTTTATTTTATTCCATTGTCTGACCGATTTTGTCTTTGCCACCAAAACATCCAACCTGTCTGATTCCCTTTAAAGGTAAGAATTTAAAAAACAATTTCTCTCATTCACGTAGGTTTGTTTTCTCAGTCCAGTACTGCGAGGCTTTTTTATTTCTAAACTTTTCCTTAAAGTACAGAAAGTTTTACGTTATACTCGTTTGTTTTTTTAATACATTATAAACTTGATTCCCTGTCGACACATTTGTGATTATAATCCAGTTAACACTGTACATTTTAGTAATGCAGCACAAACTGTTCGAGGCCATTTAAACTTGACGTTGAACTGATAAAGAAGGGGAAAGCAGGTTTAAACATTATGTACAGTTTATCAGAACAGATGCAATCTGTTTAGAGTAATTAAAAATGGTTTAAGAAGCAGCGTGGATAATTGAAAAAGGTTAATCAAAACATATTCAAACGTGAATTGATTTACAAGACTGCCGTTTTATTGAGTTGGAATGAATGCAAAGTATAGGGTTTTTTTTTAATCTTTTTTTCTTTTTTTTTTGAGACGGTGGTCGGTTTATTTGAACCAGACCAAGCAAAGCAGTTTAATTGGAAATTATGCGTGTCAAGTACGAGCTGGACGGATTTCTCCAAATATTAGTAGCGTGTTGGCCTGTAAGAGTTTGTGTGAACGTGTGTATATATACGGGTTTGTTCGCCTGAACCCGTGAGTGAGTTTCCATGAGGTTATATGTGTTTTTAAGAGCCACTGAGTATTGGCTGTAGTCACACTTTATACACACTTTACTTTTTTTCTGCTCTCTTAATGGACTCATAAAATGTACAAAATACAGGAGCAAAATTGAATCTTAGTTTAGATGTAAAACATCAATGATATCTGTGCGATTTTTGAAAGACTGATAAGCAATATTGGTCTGAATGTCTGCTGAGACGCTACTGCACACAGTGGCAGTAAAATTAGATCATTTTACGACACATGCATTATTTACCGATATCTCAGCCATTATGTCAACCGTGTGTTAATCAGCAAGCAAGAGGCAGGGAAGCGGAGCGGGTCTGCCGCTGGCGGAGTGGGTTTAGCGGGCTGAATCCTGATTTAAAGCCCGATCTCCTGGCAGCTGAGCCGGACAGAGAGCCCGCATGGATCGATAGCCCGAAGTACGTCGCCAGCAGTGTCCGGCACAAGAGAAACATTGTAATACTTTGGTCTGAATTGTATAGTTACACTCGTAGCTATTAAAATGGATACACGCTGCATATTCTACTGTCTGTGTATTAAAATCTCTAGATCGACAGTCATCGTGCAATTGTACTCGCTTCACTTTTAAAGCATATTGGAGCTGAAGGTATTTACTGTATTATAAGTGAGGTATGCTAGGGTCTTTAGTCCAAGGGACCATATGAGGTTTTGCCTCTGTGTGATAAAAGACAGGGAAGACTATAGGCAGCCTTGAAGGGTATTATCTATAATAAAGTGCCTGTAAACTGGAAAGGTTGCGTTTAGCTGAAGTGCTAGTATACACGTAAAGGACAAAAGTAAACTTTCTATTAAGAATTGGGGGGTGGGGGTGGGGGGCGCTAAACCTGTAATACCTTTTTAATTTTAAACTATAGGAAAATCAAATATTCTCTGACATTTAGGATTTTTATTCCACAAAACCATTAAGAATCCAGGAAATTTGAATTAATAATATGTTGGTATTGCACGAAAACAAAATTTATTTTAATGTTCCAGACAGGACTTTATTATTTTTTTAATATGTCTGGTTTTGAGTGAAAGGAAGAATTCAGCAGAACAATTGTGCTGTTGTTTGATTTCATTGACCACACTGTGATACACTCCTTTTGTTCTGCCTGTCTTAAAAAGAAATGCCATTTCACATTATTCTGCACAAATTGTTTGAATTAATGCAAGAGTGAATGCTTACTGTTGAAAGCTTCAATTAGCATATCAAAGTAGTCAGTGCTTTAGCTCAGTGGAAGGAACTTCAGTGCTGTCCCACATTTGTTTTGGCGAAGGTGGAGAGGGCAGAGGGGTATATCAAGGAATGAAGTAGGGAGTTGAACTTGTAATCTGTTTTAAGACATTTTACTCTCTCCATGTAAACAAGTATAACATGCTAATCTTTACTTGCCAAAAATGATATAATTTGTAACAAAATATGCATTATTGTAATTCACTTTCAAGTAAAGTAACTGTCTTCGTTCATGACGTTGCCTTCACATTTATTCTCAACCAATTAACAATAGTGTGCAATGAAAATCATAATTTGTAAATTATATAAGCTAGACATGAATCTCATCTCAGTGTTTTTATTTATCTTATAGATAGCAAGTTTTTTTGTGTTTCTGCAAATGTTAGTTATTGCAATACTTTTTTGATTGATTTAAGTTTTATGATCATTGATTTATTATGATGTTAGTTCTCAGTCAGCTATATTTGTTAGAACAGGCACTGACCTTTATATTAAAATGATACAGAATGGGCCGGTTGTGTTTGACAAGTAAGTGTAGAAAATGTGGTCTTTTTAAAGAGAGAGATAAACAACAGCTGCTGTTTGCAGAAAATAAATAGGTTATTTGCCAGTACAAGGTATTGCAGTGCCTTTCTTTTCATTTTCACTCACAAATCAATAGCCCACTGTGGCTCAGTATAGATTAAAAAATAGACTAGTATTTATTGTTGGTTCCTGTTTTGGTTTATTCTGGGTCAAAGATAGTTATTACGTGTAACTTTGTTCTCACAGATGGCAATATGTATAATAAATGTAATGCATTCTTTCTGTTCAATTTGTTTGGCAAATCTAGTATTGCAGTGAGATTATTCATTACATTTGTTACTCTTATAGTACTGGAACAGTGTGTCATACCACCTTCAATAAGCGGTTCTGTTACTGCATGTGATCAATCTAGCATCGTCGTATAACAGAGTGCCAATCTAGAGCACTGGATATTTTTAAGATTCAGTCATTCCAGCTGTTATTTAAGTCTTTTGAAATGATCTGTCATCAAGGTATGGAAGACACTTGATTTTTTTTTCTCCAAAAGAACCAATGCAATGTTCATCATTTATTATCATAGATTTTAGTTTAGGTGATTGCACTAAATTAATGGAATTAGTGAGTAACATGTCGACAACTGCCGTTCCTTGAAGTATAATGTATAGGTTATAATCATTATTATAGTAAAAGGTCGGCAGAATGCAAAAATCTTCGTGGTCATGTAAGCAAATATGCACTGAATTAGAATAGAGCACATTTACAGCAAAATGAATAGAGGCAGGGAGCTTCACCTGACAGTGTCAATTATGGCTTCTTGATTTGTCAGCTGTCTCTCTGTCAAAAAGAGGGAAACCCAGAGGCAGGAAACGGTCTGACAGTTTAAGAGGTCATGGGATCAAATCAGCAATAAATTTTCCTGCTGTGAGTTCGGATTTCTTGATTCGCGCCTAAAAAATTTCCCATTCATCTTATTTTTCTGATTTCTCACACCACACTTACAGCTGCCCAAAATGAATAATAAACACGACTATTAAAAGTATGACTGTAACTTTAACAATATGCATTCACCTCAGTATTTGGTGGCACAAAAAGCTGTGTTTATTACTGCAGTTTTACAGCAGGCAATCACTATAACGCCAGAAGGCAGCCTGTTTCCTTTAAGCCATTTTGTAAAACATTTGTTTCCACTTGCCAAAAGCTTCTGAGGCAGTAAGGGCAATTTTTGGTTCTCAAATGGCTAATGAAATTTTTTTGCTCACAATTTTTTACGTAGACTTTAAAAATACAGTGCTATTTTGGGCTGTATATCTTTTTAAGACTACATCCCTGTATTGTCTTTCCCCCTCTTCCCTTCTTCTTCATGCATTTAGATCAGTGAGAGGAACATGGAAAAATGGCAGGAACCGCAGAATTTGGTGTGATTCACCAGGTTGCATGGTATAAAATCACTGTCACTGCAAATTACTCGGTTTGAGGAACCAAAAAAAAGTCCTAAGACACCATGACCTTAGACTTATTTTAATGTTCCGGAACGTTATTAAAAATGAGGGGATGCAAAAAGATGGCGGTTAAGTGACACATTGTGCTCTGCACATGAATAAATTAATACAATGTGATAGACATTTTAACATTACATAAAAATCAGTATCAGCAGAGTATCAGGCTGCTTTGAAATGGCCACGAAGGCCTTTTACTCACCATTTAATCACAAGCTGGTGTGGGTACTGACCATAGTGAAAAATAAAGGCATCACTTTTTTATACTGAATTTTTTTGCCATGATGAATTTTCCTAGCGATATTCTATTTGAAACTTGATAAACATAGTAAATAATCGATCTGATCTGTGGCCGAATCGATAATAATAAAATTGATATAGTGTAGTTTTAATATATATTCTGCAATATCACAAATAGAGGTGTCCGATTTTTTGCTTTGTTCTGTTGCAGTGCTATTTTATTCGTATGTCATTGGTTAGTTTTAATCCTTTTATGCCATCTGATTGAGAATCAGAACAAAGTACACGCTTACTAAAGTGTCATACTTAAAACTGCCTCTGAAATGATTCGTTAACGTGCTTTCCTTGACAGTACTGGTACTGGTAATGTTAAGACACAGGTTCACTAAATAAGCCTTCAAACCACACTAAAAAGGCACCTATCCCCATACAGAAACACATCACTTAACAATGTTTGTATATGAATAGAATGTATATTTCTCATGCACAGCTGCGGCAGTGTGAAGGATTATGATCAGTTTTGCTACCTCAGAAGAGAACCTCCGAGGCAGCTCTTAAAAACAAACAGAAGCTGTTGCCAAGGACAGTGTCGAGCTAAGTGTGATCTGCAGCTGTCTGCCAGGGGACGCTTCAGATCTTCTTATGGATTATGAAAGAGGTTCACGTTCTTGCCAAAAAACTTTTATTTTAAAGGAGACTATCCTGCAAATTAAGCTATAGTGAAAAATCCTGCTCCTCGTTGATCACCTGATTCTAACTCTACGCAAATAAAATAAACGTTGTAACTGAAGTCATAATTCATGTTTATTTCATTATGTTATTGGTGTCAACAC